GCTGCTTTCCTAAACGTGTAGTCAATTCCCTTGCATTCTTTTCATTTGATTTTGGTGGGAGCCTGTATTTGCTTCGTACATTCCCATAGATCGGTATTGGATATACGCTCCGGCCACCATGTTTTCAGTATTCTTCTAAAACATTTGTTTATGAACACTTGGATGCGCGATTAAATAGAAGTGGTGTTTTTTTCACGTTTCGCATCCGTAGAACAACCTTGACCTGACGTTTGAGTTAATTTAGTACGGGTATTTATTTCGTTAGACTTCCACATATTGCTTAACCACCTGAATGCTGACTTGGCGTTACTCAGTCGAGGCGAAACGTCTTCTTCAGCTCCACTTTTATCCATGATGATGCTGCCCTAATATGTAGATTATTTTACGTAATCAACTGAGTCATTTTGATGGATGAAGGATCTGGGATAGTATAGTCGCTGCAGATTAAGTGTCAATTTTGTTCTGTAACGCAGAAAGAGAAAAAGATCGTCTGCATACTCAAAAATTGCCAATTTTGCTAAAATATTTACATTGTATTAAAATTTTTAGTATTTTTAAAAATTGTTTTATTTTAAAACAATAAAATAATGTATTCGTCAAAAATCAATGTTAAATAATTCTGTTAAATTAGTTTGCTTAAACAGGACCTCTTAAGAAAAGTTGTATGAAGTAAATTCTATTGTTAATTACATGCGTTAATAAAATCAACGACTTCTCACATTTACCCAATTTGTTGCCATAATAACTGTTATTATTCGGAAAAATGCATTTGTTGAAGAAAGTCAGGTATTTTGTGAAAGTAGAAATCATTCAAACGACTTGCCGAAGGACATTCAGGTCGACGATATGACTGGATAAGTGACTGGATATTGAAACAATAGTAGAATATTTTAAACAAAATAAGTTGGTTAAGTCAAAAACATTTCTTATAGGTCTTTAAAAAGTCTTTGTTGCTTTCGAACACTCGTTGCATATTAAGAATGGCTTAACTGCTTAAATGTTCTTCGCTTATCGGGAAACGCAGATAATTCTTGTTCTGTTGAGTATGGAAAACGAAGCTTGTTTAATTTAAGGACAAAAGAAAAAAATACGAAACAGTTGTCGGTAGTAAAACTCATCCAAAGCATTACATGTTTAGTTAAGGGTTTGCTTTTTTATAATATGGATCCTTTAATATTCGCTGAACATGTTGAAATTGTTAAAATTTAGTATAAAAGTCATGATATTATAATAAGTCCATTTCGTCTACAATACAGAGTTTATGGTCGATATAATCATCCATCTGCGCACACTCTGGACAAAAATGTGAAGAAATTTGAAGAAACTGAATCTGTTACAAATGTGTTAGGACCTAGACCTTATCGAAACGTACAATTGGAATGATTGAAAGCTGCAAGACACGTAATCGCAGTTAAAAAATTAATCGAAATGTATGCAGAAGCAAAAGAATTTTGACTTCTCATTTAAATCATCTTACATTTATTCTTTTTTAAAATACGAAATACCCATACGAAAAAACTGTCTTAAATATAAAAGTTTCCACAGTCCGAAATCTTAATAAGCTTATTTGATTAATTATTATAGTACAATTATAATAAGTTAAATCTGGTACAAAAAAATGATTTTACCTAATACAGGTCTGATAATGAAGAGAAAAAGGTCTCTTAGAATTTTAGTTTTAGAGTTAATCTAATAAATTTTTACAGACATTCTGAAAATGAGTGCAACAAGGGTAAGAATGAACTTAATTGGTTGATTATATCACAAAAACCCGTGAATAGTAGTTAACTCTATAACACGTGATATCTTAACGATAGCATTTCTTTCTAAACTTCGCACAATGTTAGCCATTTATTAAATGTACTCGTTTATTTGCATAGGCTTTAATATTTATCTGAAAAATATTCAGTGATATTCAGCCTGTTTATTTTAGGTCCTTAGCCATTAGTTATTAGTTATATGGTTTGTTGTTTCGTGAATTTCTGTTCATTTATGTTAGTTTCGTGATTTCAATAAAAAATTTATTGGAATTATTTTAATTTTTGTAAATTTTTTGTTTTCTAACAACGCTATACAAAATTAAGCTCTAAAAAATTCACTAAAACGTCTGTACATTTTATATATCTCTTAACTTTCACAAGGCGACACTTTAAACGTTAAGAATTCAAGTGCTGGAAATTTCTTGCATACTTCATTCAAATGAAATGAATAAACGATTTTATATTAATAACAAAATATTGTTATCAGATATTGTTTTGTAGATCATCAAGTTCAAGTTTTAGGTAAATATTAAAAACAAAAATACCCAAAAAAGTCTCGTAATTTCTTACGTTGCCCAGGAAGCCCTAGTTTTTTGGAAAATATCTCAGTTATCGTTACTTGTGTTATCATGCAAATATGAAGAGCAAATGTATGTGAACCAATCTGAAGTTCGAAGACCGTACCAGCTCCACACATAAAAATCATTTATTAGGCAATAGCGATTACAAAGCAATTCGTTCGCATAAAACAATTTTTTTATATATTGTGTAAATATTAGAATAAACATAAACTTTTATCACTTTAACTAACTTAGTTGAAGAGTTAGTATTTTTATAAAACTGCAAAAAGAAGGCACTGAGCTTAATAACATCGTTTCACAGAAAATCTTTTTTTTTAATCACTTTTTTTTATTACTTCAACTAATTACATATATAGTTTCATAAATATCTTATAAAAATTAGAATAGAATAGAAATAAAAATTAATTTTATATAAAAATGAAAAGGGAAGGCACTGAGCTTTGCTATGTTGTATCTTTTTTAGTTTGAGTCTCGCTAAGTCAATGTTTAATATTTAAAAAACTTTGAACTGATATATTCTTGGCAGTTTTATAAATATTTATTAGAGTTAAATATTTTTGATTTTGTTATAATTGTCTTTCATTATATTTATGCAGTAAAATGCACAATTCAGTTAAACGTCATTTTAAAATAAATAAAGTAATTTCATTTATGTGTAAATAAATATTTTTTAACCAACAGTTTCGCAGTGAAGTACAGAACTTAACGTCTTTTGAATTGAGTTGGTCATGCAATAAAAATAATTATTTTCATAATTTATTTTGTTAATGACTAAATTATATTCATATATTCTTGGATGGGCTATTTGGTCAATGGTTAAATAATATGCAATTTTTTAAATTTGTAAAAAAAAATATATTTTATTTGTATCGATATTTTAATTATAATCTATAGTCATCTTCAGGGTACCATTCTAATACAGATATTTATAATATACCAACAAATTCAACCCTGAATGTGACTATAGACTGTGATCGTAATATCAGTGCAAATATATATATGTATATTTATATATATGTATTCATGTTTATATACACATATATATATTTTTTTTTTTTTGAAAAATGATGTTTTATTTAACATTGTCCAATTATCCCGTCCAAAAAATGTAAATAATTCATTTTAATTATTATAAAAATTAAATAATAGAGTAGATTATGCCTGTATAAAGTGTGCACATAAAATATTTGTGATTGGATTTGATTTCGACTAAATTGAGAATAATTTGTAAAAAGGATTGAGTGTAAGTTTTAGCTAAGAAGGAACTATTTGCCTTTATACACACAAATAGACTTCGACGATGAGATAGAAGTTATGTCGATCTGTGGAAAACTGGAATAATGTATTATTGGTCAATCTATATAATATAATTTATATAAAGTGAATTTTAATTCCATATAAAAAATTGAAATAAAGGTGTCGGACTTGTTGAATGTTGCAAAAGGTGTAGCTTATAGTATTAAGTAGTTATGATTATATAGGAAAGGTCCGTACTGTACGGATTTGCAATGCTACTAATTAGCATACATACTTAAATCAAATATTTAATCACAACAAATTGAGTCACAGAAAATTAATATGTCTTTTAAAATGTTATTATATCTTTTACTCTATGAACTACCAATACCCAACAAAATACTGTAATTTTTAAAAGTTTAAAACGTGAAATCGCCGAACAGCCGATACTGTGGTCAGAAAAGTTCTATTGTACTAATTTCACTATTAATTACACAAAGCCTCTTAAAGCTTCGTGAACAAAGTCCAGAACTAAATCTAGAAAAGAGTTCTTAATCTGTTATGGCGATAGAAATTCCATATGAAACAAGTTTCTTCTGTGCATTATTAAAGCTGGACAGTCACAAAGAATATGCTTGGTAGCTTCCTCTTCTTCGAGGTGAGATGAGAATTTAAGGATGTCTTGTAGGAACTACGGTGTTATCAGTGATTTGCTTTGTCTAAGTTCTGGGAAGTCTTCCCAGTACTCCAGTCGCATATGATTTTCCCTTTCCTTGATAATTTGTTTTGTGTTGGCTCAGTTTATCTCACATAAGGGTTGAGGGCCTGTAAAAACCAGTTTTTGATGCAGTTCTGGCTAGCCCATCAGATTGTTCATTTTCCAAAACTCCCCTGAGACCACGAACCCAGTAAAGGCTTACATTATTCTTTGCTGCAATTAGCTGTAGGAGCTCATATACTCAAGTACCTGTTTTGATTTAAAAGTCCAAGAAGATAGAGCTTTAAGAGCAGTTTCGCTGTCAGAGTAAAAAACTATTCTCGAACTACATAATAATAACGTAGTTAATTGAAATAGAAAACATAAGAAATCCGAATCACTTAATTTACTAGACTGTAAAGGCTGTGTATTTCATAATGAAACTGTATTTTGCTCTATACGGGCTACCCTAAAATACTAGTACAGTAATTAATATAAAATTTAATTACAGTAGATGATTGCAATTTTGTTTCTCAATTTTGCTCACTTCATGGAACTTTCATAAGCAATATCTTATAAATACAAAAAAAATTTGAATATTGTTTGCTTGAATATTTTATTACTAATAGAAAAAAGTTATTATAGTAAAATGAAGTAAAAATCAATACTAATATAGTGAAATATAAAGTTTTTATGAGGAACGTATTTAACCAAAACTGGTTTCTTCTAATCATCATCTGAGTTAGCCTTATTATCAGTTATAGGTTCGCTTGCCAGGTCATTTTCACCTAACGCAGCTTCATCATCACTTGCGGCTAATTCGTCATTCGCAGGTGTAGGAGCTTCTGTAATATTTGTCTCATCATCATCTGCTAGAGATTGCTCTGTTACAACTTCAACTGGAGGTGATGTGACATCAGTTACTTCTGCTGATACTGGTGATACTGCGTTATCTACTACAGTAACTTCGGGTTCATTTGAGGCTTCTGTGGCTGCATCAGTTACATTTTGTTCATCATCATCCCCTGCAGGTTGTTCTGATGTGTCACTTACTTCTACTGGAGCAGCGACTTCAGCTGTGGCATCAGTTGCTTCCGCTGAGGCTGGTGATACTGCCCCATCCACTACAGTAACAACGGGTTCAGCTGAAGCTTCTGTGGCTGCGTCAGTTACATTTTGTTCATCATCATCACCTGCAGGTTGTTCTGATGTGTTACAACTTCTACTGGAGCAGCGGCATCAGACTTCGCTGGCATCAGTTGCTTCCGCTGAGGCTGGTGATACTGCCCCATCCACTACAGTAACTTGAGGTTCAGCTGAAGCTTCTGTGGCTGCGTCAGTTACATTTTGTTCATCATCATCACCTGCAGGTTGTTCTGATGTGTCACTTACTTCTACTGGAGCAGCGACTTCAACTGTGGCATCAGTTGCTTCCGCTGAGGCTGGTGATATTGCGTCATCCACTACAGTAACTTCAGGTTCAGTTGGAGCTTCTGTGGCTGCATCAGTAACATTTTGTTCATCATCATCACCTGCAGGTTGTTCTGTGTGCACTACTTCTACTGGAGCAGCGACTTCAACTGTGGCATCAGTTGCTTCCGCTGAGGCTGGTGATACTCCTCCATCCACTACAGTAACTTCAGGTTCAGTTGGAGCTTCTGTGGCTGCATCAGTAACATTTTGTTCATCATCATCACCTGCAGGTTGTTCTGATGTGTCACTTACTTCTACTGGAGCAGCGACTTCAACAGTGGCATCAGTTACTTCCGCTGAGGCTGGTGATACTGCATCATCCACTACAGTAACTTCAGGTTCAGTTGGAGCTTCTGTGGCTGCATCAGTAACATTTTGTTCATCATCATCACCTGCAGGTTGTTCTGATGTGTCACTTACTTCTACTGGAGCAGCGACTTCAACAGTGGCATCAGTTACTTCCGCTGAGGCTGGTGATACTCCCCCATCCACTACAGTAACTTCAGGTTCAGTTGGAGCTTCTGTGGCTGCTTCAGTTACATTTTGTTCGTCATCATCGCCTGCAGATTGTTCTGATGTGTCACTTACTTCTACTGGAGCAGCGACTTCAATTGTGGCATCAGTTGCTTCCGCTGATGCTGGTGATACTGCGTCATCTACTGCAGTAACTTCAGGTTCAGTTGGAGCTTCTGTGGCTGCATCAGTAACATTTTGTTCATCATCACCTGCAGAAACTACATCTCCTACGTTACTTGAATCGTCATCAGCTAAAGCAGTAGAAGCTTCAGTTTGTTCAGGTTGCTCTGGTTCTAATGAAGCTTTTGTGGATTCTGTATCATCATCTGTTGGAAGTTCACTTGGAGGTTCACCAGAAGGAAGTTGTTCAGGTGACGATTCAGTAATCGCATTATTATCTGTGTCTTCTGCAGCAACGTCATCAACCTTGGTGTCTGCTGCTGCTGAAGCCTGTAGAACGACTTCAGTTGTTTTTTCGCCAGAATCCGTTAGTGGAAGTGCTTTTAAACATACGATGCACTGGAATGATCAACATCTGTAGTTAAAAAAGATCTTGCAAATTAGCTTTCACAATATTTACCAAGAAGAAGAGAAATAAACTTGTTGATTTCATAACAGCCATAGTCGTAATGAGTTAAAAAGAATACTGAACTAAGATCCAAATTATTTTGGCTTTTATTTGAAATAATTTAAAAAAATTTATTTTTTATCGTGGTTAGAATTGTTATCTTGTCAGCTATATAATTTGATATATTATTTATTCTTGTATATACACGCTGTGCAGATGTGCATGAAAAATGTTTGACTGAATTGCAAAATAAATTGCAAATATGAAAAGGAATTTTCAGCATTTTCGCAGATAAAAGATATTTGCATGAGCATATTTTTAAACAGGTCGAAGACTTTATAATCTTGAACATTAAATAAAATATTTGATTAACTATTTTATGTATATGAAAGCGATGTAGTTATCAAAATGTGTAAGCAAGAAATAGAGCAACATTGTGATTTAAACATTAAAAGCGAAATGATTTTGTTTTGCAATAATTTTATTCTTCGTGAAATTGTGTGATACATTGATTATTTTATTTCACTAGAACAATTTTTCACATTATGATAAAAGGATTAAATTGAATATCACAAAACATAGACTATATTTTTTTCTAGTTCATTACATAGTCAATTCTTTGATATATATTATACATACTATATATTCATGACAATTTATGAAAAAATTAATAAAGAGAAAGATTAATGTAATTTTAACTTCAAAACACTTGCTTGACGATAGTTTATAATTAGAAAGAACGATACACTATAATTATCTTGATAAATGAAGATATCAGTAGCAGTATTTTTTATTAATCATTTAAAATCATACAATAATTATCCATAATTTATACATTGTTTACTTAAAGCTATGACTAATGTCGTCAGCTTAACTTAGCGATACCTACTCTTTTTATCTCTCAAGTCTTGTAGCGAGTTTGATGTTATAATTAGTAACTGTTGTTGTTATGCATACATAAGTGCAGTTAAAAGAACTCATCTATAAGACTTGGTTAAATACGGGCATAAATTGAATCAGTCCATTCCATTAAAAACACAGCGCAATTCCTTTAGGCTTAAGGTCATTTTACCAAAATACTTGTATCTTATTTCCTTTGAAATTGGGCATATTGCGATAAAGTTTTCCATTTCCATTTCTTATTTATTGCACAGGCTACAAACCGATAGTGCACAACTTTCATAGGGTATGTAATTGAGGTTGAGGAGATCGGCACGAGGTTTGAGAATATATTCCACTGTATATTTATCATTAAAACAATTCGATGTCCCCAGATTTTAAGTTAATTCTCTGTATGTTTGTCTTATAAACACATCGTTCTCTCTCAGCTTGATCCTGTTTTAGGAGAATGGGCTGCTGTCAGTCAATCCAACTTTTCTTCTATTCTGAAGGCAGATTTTCTTCATGCTCCTCGGCTCCTTTAACCATGCCTCTGACCTGAACTCCTTTTACCTAGAAAGTATGTCGCAAGCCGTTTAGTGAGTTTGCTATCTGGTTGGTTTACAACAGCGTTAATATATTGAAAGTGTGGTTCTAATGTGCCTCTATATAGTAAACGAAAAATGCATTTGATAAAATAAATCAGCAGTTTTTCCATCTCATCATACCTTTCAAAACCCCGAACTTTGGGTGAACAATTCATAATTGAGTTGACCACAGCTTGGAAAACTTTGTATTTAACTGAAAGTGCTGTTTCTTTCAGTTAGTTTACTGATAACTTTTCTTCACGACTACTTTATTATTTCTCAAAAACACATGTCGCCTTTTCGCGTGTGCTTAAAGGCGACGACACAATACAAAAATGACAAATAAATTAAAGGCCATTATGCAATAAATCTTAATTCTAAACATATCGCCGCCTTTGATGGCTCCAGCAGACATCAACATTCAGATGGAATAGGTGCCAATTTATGGATTGCTCGGCGAACCTCTCCATTCTTTGTTTTTATATCAGCAACTCGAACCCAACCTTTAGCATCTCTTGTCACTTTCAGCACTTTCCCAATAAGCCATTGCTTAGAAGGCAAATTTTCTTCTGCAATTAACACCATATCATCTTCATTAAGGTTCTTCTGCTTCTTAGTCCATTTGACTTTCTGTTGAAGTTCATGAAGATACTCCGCCGACCACCTTCTCCAAAAATGTTGTTGTATGGCCGAAATTCGTAGCCATCTATCTTTATGAGACCATTCTTCGCTATCCACAGTAGGTTCCACAGTTCCAACCAACGGACCACCTGTTAAAAAATGTGCCGGTGTAAGAACGCTTTCATCATTTGGGTCGTTAGACAAGGTTGTCAAAGGTCTTGAATTTAAAACTGCCTCTACTTCCGCAACCACTGTTGCCAGCTCTTCAAATGTAAGATGCCATTGACCCAATATTCTAGCCAAATGATATTTTGCTGATTTTACAGCCGCTTCCCATAGTTCACCAAAGTGGGGGATCTGGGTGGTATATGATGAAATTCAATACTATTGGCAGTACAATATTTTGAAATCTTGCCCTGTACTTGTTGATCAAAAAACTTGCATTTCATTTCCTCGAGCTCTTTACGAGTACCCACAAAATTAGTTGCATTGTCGCAAAATAATTTTAAGCATAAGCCGCGTCGAGCTACAAATCTTTTTAATGAAGCCTGGAAAGCCTTTGCAGTCAAATCAGAGACCACCTCCATATGCACAGCTTTTGTGGCAAAACAAATAAAAACAGCAATATAGCTTTTTGTTGTTCTGTACCCACGAAGTAGATACGTTGTTGTAATAGGGCCGCAAAAGTCCACTCCAGTCACAGTGAATGGCCTCGCTACGGTGACTCTAGAAGAGGGTAAATCGCCCATAATCTGATTACTCAATTTTGGATGGCATCTAAAGCATTGTAGACAACTACCAGTAATTTTGCGTAACTATAGCCATAAGCGCTTGCGTACCAGCATGCAAATATTTGAAATGAAGAAATCGTACAAAACTGCAAACTATTTCTGAGTTATTCGGTAACAAAATTTGATGTTTAGCATCATATGGTAATGCTGCCTTCGCTAATCTCCCACCAACACGTAGTAGCGGAACACCATAAGTATCTTCTACAAAAATGCTCAGATTTTTATATTTACTGTTTGCTGGCAATTCTCTATTCCTCAATAGCAGCTCAATTTCTTCTTTGAAATAATGTTGTTGCACACAGTAGAATATACGCACTAGTGCTTCATCTAATCTTTCAGTCATAGACTTAACGCTTCTTCGAAAGCCAAGAAGATTGGCAAAAATTCTTTGTAATTTTTCAAAATGCTGAAGGTTTCAACCCACGTCACAAAAGAAGATTTCGAGTTATCCTCAGAGCATGCCTCATAAGGTATTTTTTTTTTCAAATTATTAACAGTCATTATCGTACTATTACGACTCCTTTCTTGGTCAGCATTAGTATTCTTTCTAGACTTATTTGGTGGCCACTCACAACAATCTCTCTTCAAGAAAGAAGGACCTGCAAACCAAATAGAATTAGATAGTTCATCTACATACGCACCTCTTGATATTATATCCGCTGGGTTAGACTTTGAAGGAACATGCCGCCAAATACACGTTTTTGTCTGCTCTTGAATCAATGATACCCGGTTGGCAACAAATGTGTTCCAATTTGATGGGTGCTCGCTCAGCTAATCTAGCACAATTTCGGAATCCACCCATAAATAGGTCGCGTCAATAGAAATTGGAAAATTGGATTTGGTTTTTGTCACTAGTTTCGACAGCAATTTTGCAGCCAAAAGTTCCAATTTTGGTAAAGATAAAATTTTTAATGGCGCTACTCTGGATTTAGCACTCCACAACTGCATTGTAACGTCGTTGTCCACACATATTGAGCGAATATAAATACAACACCCGAAAGCTCTTTTTGATGCATCAGCAAATCCATGCATTTCAACTCTAGCAACTCGTTTTTCTGCCAAAACAAATCGAGGCACACTTATTTTCTTGACGTCTTTTAGATTTTCGCGGAATTCTATCCATTGACTATGTAAATTTATTGGTAGGGATTCATCCCAATTAGCCTTCAATATCCACAAATCTTGCATGAAAATCTTCGCCTTTACGATTAATGGGTTAATAAGCCCAAGGGGATCAAACAACTTAGATAGTTCCGACAACACTATTCTTTTTGTCACCGTTTTCGAGCTATCAAAATCTGGCCAAACGTATCGAAACGTATCTCCTACTGGAGCCCAGATGATACCAAGAGTTTTTATTATTTCCTCATCATTCATCCGAAGAGTCTTTTCTTTATCAGCTTCAGGTACGAAATTAAGAAATTTTTCACTATTTGAAAACCACTTCCTTAACTTAAATTTTGCTGAGTTCATTATTGCTGATACTTGATTATATATTTCAAAAATTTCATCTTCATCGTTTGATCCACTGATCAAATCATCCATATAAAAATCAGATAACACCTTTCTCGATCCAACCGGATATTTATCGATATAATCTTCACTTAACTGTTTTAAGCATCTTGTAGCTAAATAGGGGGCAGATGTTGTACCATAAGTAATGGTTCGCAAGCAATAGGCCTTTATGTTTTCATCTGAGGAAGACCTCCACAAAATCGTTTGATAATTCGCATCATCATCAGTCACCCATGCTTGGCGATACATTTTTGTTACATCTGCCGTAATTGCATATTTGTAACATCTAAATCGCAGTATTATAGATAACAGGTCATCTTGAACCAGTGGTCCTTTCATCATTACCTCATTTAATGACAAGCCACTGTCAGTTTTACAGCTATAATCGAACACAACTCGAAGTTTCGTACTCGTGGAGTCTGGTCGTAGCACATACTGATGCGGTGCAAAATATTTTATCTTATCCATATCAGCTTCTTCAACGATCGTCATGTGACCTAAAGAGAGGTACTCATCCATAAATGCGTTGTAAGCGTCTCGTGTAGAGCGTTCTCTACTCAACATACGCTCTAGTGACAGCAACCGTCGTTTGGGAGCATTATAGGAACCACCCAAATCACTTACTGTTGTTTTAAATGGAATTTTCGTAATAAATCGGCCAGATGTATCTCTACGAATTGATTCACGGAAAATTTTCTCGCATTCCTCTTCTTCTTCGGTTAAAAAATTTGATTTAGTTGAAATCTGTTCTATTTTCCAGAATTTTTCAACCAATTGACTCAAGTTTTCATTCTCATTATGGTTGTGATTGACCAGCATATTATTTATTTTATGACTAGGCGCTAAACATTCTTCTGCTTTGTCTGCAACTATCCACCCTAGTATGGATTTCTGTAGGGTTGGCAACCTTTCATTAAGATAAATTCGTCCAATCGACAACAAATCGAAGAAAATTTTCGCACCAATTAAAATATCTATACGCGCTGGCTTATTGAACATTGGATCAGCCATTTGAATATTTTTTGGTAAATTCAAGTCCGCAACATCGACATAACGATTAGGTTTGGAGCTTGTTATTTTCGGTAAAACATAAAATTGCAGACTGACTTCGAATTCATTTATTTTTGATTTGATGGTAGCCACAGTTTTTGTTTTAAAGCTAGTTACAACGTCTCCAACACAGCTAGCATCTAATTTACAAGACGTTTTTTTTAATAACAGTTTTTGAGCAACTTTCGCACACATCAAATTTACTTGAGAGCCAGAATCTAATATGGCTCGCATTTGGTGATATTTGCCAAACTTGTCCGCTACCATTACTACTGCTGTTGCCAAAAAAACCTCGTTTTCAGTTATTACGTTTATAACTGATGACTGAGCTGTTTTCTGTGTTGACGTAGATGGCCCATTTTTGCATCTTTGTTCATTTGGCTTCAAGATATAATCTTTATGTAAAAGTTGATGATGAGATAAATTACATTTCGAGCATTTAACAGCAGAGCATTCTTTTTGAAGGTGTCCCCTTTTCAAACATGTAAAACATACCTTTATTCTCCGTGCTACGATAAAGCGTTCTTTTAAAGAAAGTTTTCTAAACTTGCTACAATCTGCAATCTCGTGGCCACTGCCATTGCAGACTTTACATAAAGGTTTTGTAACTGCAAGAGAGGTTGAGTAGTTGCGGTTATTTCTATACTCTTTTTGATAGTTTACAGCCTTTGAATTCACTTGATTAACTTTATGTTCCCTTGCATCAAGGTTCTCACATCGCCTCGTCAAAACCGCTGAACATTCATTCCAAGTTGACAGCTTCCTGTAATCCACTGATTCTTCCCATTTGACCTGCGAATCGTCGTCCATTCTTTTCATCACCAAATGAATTAACATGGCATTCGCTATATCTTTGTAATCACCTAATGATAGCATTGCATTCAAATGTGCATTCGCTGCATTTAATACATTTCTTAAATGAACTGCAGATGGTTTTGTTAATTTTGGGACAGCAAAGAGGGCTGTAATATGTTCCTCGAACATCAACGCCTTTTTATCGAAGCATTCCTTCAATCGATCGAGTGCTTTGGGGTAATTGTCCTCTGTGACATCAAAATCGTCAATAGCTGCCAGCGGCTTAGAGCCCAAGTGCTCTTTAAGTATCAAAAATCGTTCGCAGTCATCAAGCATTTCATCCTGGTTGATTAATTTATTAAACAAGGCTATAAATTTCGGAAATTCGCTATACTTCCCTTCAAATTTCGGTAATTTTACTTCCCGATGACTTCTTGGGCCCGGCAATAACGATGTTGTATTCGTTGCATTGACATCTACCAGTGATAGCTTTCTTTTTTTTAGTAAACTCATTATTTTTGCTTTCGTGGCCACAAATGCATCTTCAACTTCTGCTGTAATTGCTTCGCTTGAAGAAGTATCTGCACCTCGGTTTAGTTTATCGATATCTGCTTGCACACTCAGAAACTGTTTGAAGTAATTTTCTGTCAAACTAAGCCTGCAGTTAAGTTCTTCTGTTGACAAACTTGACCCTTTTTTCAAAATCATTGATTTTATGCGAGTGATGTTGCCTTTGGTGCTGCCTCTCAACGCCTTCAATTCCGCCATTTTCTTAGACCCTTTCTGCACGCCTCCTTGCTCCCCGTCGCTGAGTTCGTGAATTTCTGAGTCTAACATTTTGCAATTATATATTTTTTTTTTTCTGGATCACTATCCCTTTTCTGGATCACTATCCCTTTTATGGATCACTATCCCTTTTATGGATCACTATCCCGGGTTTCGGCACCAATGTTTTATTCAGTTAGTTTACTGATAACTTTTATTCACGACTGCTTTATTATTTCTCAAAAACACATGTCGCCTTTTCGCGTGTGCTTAAAGGCGACGACACAATACAAAAATGACAAATAAATTAAAGGCCATGATACAATAAATCTTAATTCTAAACAAGTGCTATTGGACAAGCTATCATTTCCTAAAACACTTCTTAGTGCGCTGTTCATTTCTAGTTTTGATTCTTTTAGCGTTTTATTAACATGTGATTCGAATATTACATTATTTGATATCCAAATGGCTAAATACTTGTATGACTTAACTATGTTACATCCAATATGTTCTTCGTTGAGATACCACTTTTCATCGTATGCAAGACGCCTTGCATTGTTTTTTGAATATTATTATTCTTGACTTTGATATAATGACTTCTAAATTCCAGGTATTACAGTACTCATTCAGTCTATTTATCATAAGCTGCATCACTCTTGGTGACTCTGCAAACAGCACAACATCATCTGCGTACATCAGAACCTTTATTTACTTGAAGAAATTAAAGTCCATTGGAGATCTCAAGGTCACCACAGAAGCTAAGAATTTTTATGGTTACTGTTCCATTATGCAGCTAGATGTACTCCACATTGTTAAGTAAAATATTTAGTGTG